CACAATTTCTTTCCAGTTTTTAAGAATGTGTGTCTATATATGACACCCATTGTTAGGAGCATTGACAGATTGTTAGTGTTTAAGGGTAAATAGTGTCAACTTCAGTGAGAGTTGCACCTCTGTCTGTTAGTGCAGTGCACAATTGCCAGACTCAAGAGAAGCTGTAAAGTTACAATATAAACAGAGCTAGCTTTATTTTGCATTCAGGCCAGGCTGAGCTGTTGTTACACATTTCTTTAATCTCTTGTTTTAACTGAATTAAAAGCCCTGTCTCTCTCTCTATAAAAGTGGTCATTTCACAGTGATTTATCACTTTCAGGAATGCATTCCTGCTATAAATATTCATATTCATAGCAGGAAGCTTAAAATTTTACTAGTGCATAGTATTGTTTCTTAGGACTGCATATTGATATTGACTGTCAGATTGTTTCCTACTGTGACCCATTTTCTATTCAGTCATTGTTCCAAATAGTTCAACTACAATAAAATCTGGCAGGTTCATCTAAGTGCTTGGATTTAAAGAGCTCTAATCAAGTGGTTTTATAACAGAAGAATTTTGTGATTACTTGATTACAGTCCATGACCTTAAGTTGGAAAGAAGCATTCAGTATTCATGATGCTATGTAAAATTTCCTCTGAAAAGGCTCACATGAATCATATAGTGGAAGAATGTAATTGCTGAAATAAAACAGCTTTTTCCAGCATTACATAAGTTTCTGAAGTATTTTATTTCTTCATGTTGCACTTTGGACAAATTCTTCAACTTGTTTTGAAAACAATTAGCTTCTTCTTGTACCTTAATATAAATTCACCTCAGTGGAATTATGTAGATTCTTTGTGATTAATTCCTAATCACAAGAATAAAATAAAGGTTTACTGTTACAAAGTAGAACAATATATTACTTGAATTTAGTCAAAATGATTACAAAATATTTTCATTTTGTAGAAAATTGGAACTTGTAAGACAAACATGATCCAAAATTGAGAGGCCGTGAAAAATATGGAGAATGTATTTGATCTAATTTTACATTTTCAGAATATATAACATAAATGTGAAAATTTATTGGAGATATCTGTTTCTGCTAAAATTTTAGGTATTAATTATGGCATATATTTCATACTTTTGGGGAGATGAAGTCAGAAAAGTTGCATTGTAAACAGAATGATATGTTTCATGTTTCAAGATGCTTTGCATTGTAGTTGCTCTTGTAATGTATGGAGAGTGTGGGTGAGATAATCCATTAATGTGAGAGTGATTGTCTATGTAGCTAACAAGTACAGATCAGTTGGAGCACTGCACCACTAATATTAGTGTCTCTTTTTCCTTAATTGTCACATAAAACCCTCAGATTATCCTCCTCCCGAGATCCAGCATGGATGAATTGTTACTTGAATCCATGTACAGTTCTCTCCCCTTGTTATATTTTCCAACAATCAAGCTGATGGCTTTTGTGTGTGCCCATGCAGATGTTGTAAAGAGATAGTCAGTCCAGTTGGTTAGAAAATAACTGTTCACATGTCCATAGGAAATACCAGGTACTGCTGCAGTTAGATACACTCATCACAGACAAGGTACATTCTGTCTTTCTTTATTATACACATTTTCCTCTTTTTCTCTTTTACTCTGTGTTTTCTGTATCTTTCTTATATTTCTTGTATCTGTATTTTTACTATCTTAGTGTATTCTCCATATATTTTTTATATATCCTTATTACATTTTATATATTTTTAATGTTTAATATTTTCAATGTTTGCCAAGCGACTGGAACATTTTTAAACCTATCTGAATGTTTTTTACTTACTGAAACCGTTGACAAAGAAGCAAATGATGCCATGGATTGGAGCAAATTAACACACCTGAGAACAGGTACATTGGTCACTTGGCACATTGAATACTCCTTGTTTCAAATCTTCAACTTCACTTTTATATGAGAGTTCTCTATTTATTTGTAATTTTGTAATATTCTGAAATGCAGGAAATAATTGTCAGAAACATTATGCTCAGTCTCATTGCCTTGAAAATGAAGGTATTATCTGTGCCACATGATTTGAAACAAGTTTCTCTTTTATCTTTTTCTATTTTTATCTCTTAATCTTGTAATATCTGCAGTTTGATGGAAGTTCCAGTTAGGTGGTGAGTCTTTTAATATTTTCAATCATTTTCTCTTTTACTATTCCATTTTTCTCTAAATTTAGATGTTTTTAATCTTTCTCAAGTTGATAATATTTTCATGATATAATTGATTACCTTTCAGGAATGTCTACTGAATGAAGTGTGTATAACATAGTGAAGTTGAATATGTTGATAATAATGTATACTCTTTGAATTACTAGGGGAGTGCAGTCTAAAAGCCCCACCTTGACACACAGCCCCACGTTGTATGGAGATGCATTGAATGCCAGCTTACAGGTAAGTGTCAGTATTAATGACAAATATAAAAGCCTTTTTTAACTAACAAATATATATGTGTGTATTGTTGTACATGTGTTAAATGGTGCATGGGATTGCAAATTTTATTAGCATGGTCATTGGTATAGATCCATTGAACAACTTCTGTAACCCACAGTATATCGTGTTCCTTCCAGTGCTGGTGTTTCAGAATGTTTGGAGATATTTAAACTTAGCTTATGTTCTAAAAGTAATTATGTTGGATTAAATGATTATCTATGTCATAGATATGAAGAAATATGTAACTAAATTATTTGCATTTTGTTCTGAAAAAACGAAGTTATATTTTATGTAGCTCATGTTCATGAGAAAACTTTTAGAACATAAGTACAAGCATGATTATTATGATAATTTTAAGACAATTAAACTCATATGAAGTGTTGTTCCACTTTGTTTAACAACATAGTAACAACATAAAAGTTAAGGGAAATAAAACATGGCATCCTATGCCCTAGTTATTCTACTCATTGATAGAGAGGTACAGTGAACCATCTGGCTGTACCAAACGTTTTGTATTTCCCAGAAGTTTGATAGGATCAAAAATGTCCGATGTTAAATGAAACCATCACAAGCAATAGAACAAACAACAATTCCTTTATGTTACAAAGATACTGATATGGAACTTCAGCTACTGAATTGTGGATCTTGACCTTTATTTATTTACGGATTTTTAATGACCCTGCCGGTAGACTACATGGTGTCAAATGAGAGGAATTTTCATTTAATGCATCCTGTTGTGTTATAATATACAACTTCTTTATTAAAACCGTCACAACACAACTATATCGACATCAGTGCCCAGTTTCGGCTCTGCTACATGTTTCGGCTATTAATAGCCATCATCAGGCAAACACATGGCTAACCACTGAACTGCAGTATTAATACAATTGGATACAATGATATTAATATATTAAAATGCTTGATGTAAAAATACAATAAATTTGATATATATAAAAAAGAACAAAAGTTATAGTATAAAACAAGAATAAAATTTATCGTTTGATGCTTTACATCATTGAGTCAGTCGTTGGTTTTTGTGATTTTGTTGTGTTCCCACGGACAAATTGGAGTATTCTATATTTTGTATGTATATAAAAAACTGTTATTTGATGCTCATGATGTAGATGTAGTAATATAAATGTTAATTATTTAGTTGGTGCCTCATCTTACAGAGTGTTGTCTGTTCTGTGGGGAATGTAAACAGTGACAGTTCAGTGGTGCATGTATGTTAGCCATGTATTTGCCTGATGATGGCTATTAATAGCTGAAACATATAGCAGAGCCAAAACTAGGCACTGACATTGATATAGTTGTGTTGTGATGGTTTTAATAAAGTTGTAAATGAGAGGAAGATTAAATAGCTAACTAACTTTATGGAGCTGAACCTTTCACAAGAAGTCACCAGTCACACAGCTACTCAAGAACTTCTCAACATTTAATGGGTCCTGAAGGTTCATTTCCATGTTCACAAGAGCCCTCCACTGGTACGTCTCCTGGTCCAGATCAATCCAGTCCATGCCACCCCATCCTATCACTCTAAGATCCATTTTAATACTATCCATCAACCTACATCTTGGTTTTCCTAGTGGTCTCTTTCTTTCTTTTTCTTCCACAAATATCCTATATGCATTTCACTTCTCCCCATTCGTGCTGCATGTCCTGCCCATCTCATCCTCCTTAACATTATCATTCTATTATGCTTGGTGAAGAGCATAAGTTATGAAGTTCCTCATTATGCCTTTTTCTCCACTTTCACATCACTTCATCTCTTGTCAGGCCAAATATTCTTCTCAGCACCCTGTTCTCAAACACCTACAGTCTGTGTTCCTCCCTTAATGTCAGAGACCAAGTTTCATACCCATACGGAACCACAGACAAAATTATAGTTTTGTATATTCCAATTTTTATGTTTCTTGACTGAATGGTAGTAAGCATTTCCTGTGTTCAATCTTCTCTTGATTTCCTCCTCAATCAAATTTTTGTTTGTTACTGTTGTTCCAAAAAATTTGAACTGTGTCACATTTTCAAAGGATCTGTTAGCCATCTTTATGTTTTGATTTTACCCTGCATTCTGGTGATGAGACAGTAACACATACTTAGCTTTCTCTGGCTTGACTTCTGGACCAAACTCCTTATTAGCATCAATTAAAGTTTCCATGTTTTTCTTTATGGTATCTACATTATCACCCAGTAGGTTCACATCGTCAGCATAGACCAGCAGCTGATGTGTCCCATTTAATTTCAGTCCCACCTGGTTTACCTGGACCTTCCTAATGGCATATTCTAAAGCAAAGTTGAAAAGCAGTGGCAATAAAGCATCTCCTTGTTTTAGACCATTGTGGATAGGAAAATTATCAGACAAATGTTTACCTAATTGGAGTTTACTATATGTCATGTTTCTAAAGCACCCATCCAGGTCTGAGGTTCTTTGTGACATTTTGTAACAAGCTAATTTTTTATGGCAAGGAGTTGTGAGCTCCACACCAAACCTCCAAGCTGGAGGACCACCCCTTGTCGGCTGTCTGCAACTGCTTATTCAATATATTCACAACTACCTCGTATCTGGAGACCATCTCCTCCATCCACAACCTGAGGATGTGCCATGCCGTGGTGATAAGGAACCCACCTAACTTGGGACAGAAAGGTTAGGGAATTATAAGTTGGAAAGGATTTGGAAGGATGTGGTCATGATCTAATTTGAGGTACTATTTTGGTATTATCTGGATGGAATGAGGAAAAGAACAGAAACCTCAAGCAGTATAGCCCATTTTCACTCTCAGATTTGAACCCCAGACCTGTCAAATATAGAGTAGTAATATGATGACAAAATTCAGTTTGACAGTTTAGTTCAGCTAAAATCTCAGAGATGGAAACACTATATATGTACTTTCATAAGACATCTTGTTAATTCCACATGTCGCGTGGTCAGCGCAATGTATCCCCATGGCCGTTAATTTCGTTTTTCTAGACCGGAGCCGCTATTTCCTTGAAATAGCTCCTCAGTTATCCTCATGAGGCTGAGTGGACCCCTTTCCATACCCACTACTTCTCAAAAATCTGGCAGCACCAGGAATCGAACCAGGACCTCTGGATCTGTAGCCAGGAACTCTGACCACTAGACCACAGAGGTCGTTGCCATATCTTTCATATACCATATGCAATTGGTAGTCTAATAATTTTATCATGTTGAGTTCCTCTTATTAAAGAGGCATATTTATTTTATACCAGCAGTATGCTGTATTCCATTCAGTGATATGTTCTTAAATACATAGGCTGTAGAGTACTTAATGGGCAGATGGTTATGCACTCTGAATTGGGGGTTTTTTGAAGTACTATTCCAGAATTTTTCTTGAAGAGCTTGAGGAAAATCACAGGAAACTTCAGTGATGGTAGCCAGCCTCCAGCCTGAGAATCAAACCCAGAACCCTTGAATGTGAAGCAGGGGTGATAATTGCTAGACTGAAACACACTGTGTGTACTCTATATGTGTGATTTATTTTATGACATTTTCAATATTTTAGACAATATAGCATCCAGTAGTAGACTGATTGGAGAATAATGAATTAGAAAGGGTTCGGAAGGAACTTCGTATGGGTTATCAAGGTACTGTCATCGTATTTGCCTAGAGGGACTGAGATTAATCATGAAGAACCTCAGTCAGGGCAGCCAGTGTCCTGGCAAAGGTTCAAACTGAGCACCTATCGACTACAGGTCTGGAGCATTAATGCTTGACTAACTTGATTGGTTGTAGTTTGATATTTGCATGGAGGTACTTGGAGCAATCGTGGATAACATAGGATATCTGACTCCATTAAAGATTTAGTCTGATTACCTCATAAACATGAAGAAGAATTGATAACCATTGCACATTTTAATAACATAAGTTCTTTCATCTCCTATATTAAAGTACATGTTTTCCTAAGTGTGTGCATACTAATATGTGTTTATGAATGGTTTAACTGTTGTATATTTAAACTTTAAAAAACAAGACAAAGATATATAAAAGATGTAGACGAATCTATATTTACATTTCAGTCACTCTAAATTAACATTTCTTATAGGTAATATGAATATGGAATCATTCTTTGAGTTCCTGAGACTTGTTACAGTTACAGCATGTAGTGTGTAATTGCACGTATCTTTTAAACAGTTATTTGACAACATTCTTGTTTATTTTTCAAGAACTCCCAATGTGAGAATTATTCTGAGGTAAAGTACTTTCATTATCTTCTTTACAGATAAAATTTTAAAGTAGTTTTGTTACAATCTTTTGGCGTTTTTAGAAAGACATTGTTTGACTGTGGCATTAAAAAGTCCCTGCTGAGCAATACTCACTCTGCTGTTGAAATGTGGAAATAAATGCAGTATTTTATCGATGCATGTGTAGATATATTGCTTCTGTCTGATCAGTAAAATTCAGTTTTTCTGAAAGTCATAACATTTTTACATTTTTTTCTGTCACTGCATTTTCTTCAAGAAGTTTGACATTACAGTACTCTATACTTTCAACAGATCTATTCTGTTCAAAATGCTCAGAGTATACAGTATTTTTTAATGCAATGGAATGTTCTGTCCATAACAGTGAAATGGATAAACAGTATCACCTTTGATTCTGATGCATGACATGATGTATGGTAATGTATGTTCTAGCTTTGAAGCCAAGCGAGGAGGGAGCTAATGCTTATAAAGCCATGAATAGAATAAAGTAATATTCTCTAATTTGTGTGATAATATTTTACTGGATTATGTCTAGGAAATATGTGGTATGTTGCAGGCTGCACTTGGTGACAGCAACATAGGGTTTCTCAACAATTCTATGAGCACTTCCACAACAACCAGTCCAGAAAAAGTACCATCTCCACCCTTGGAGCACAGGTAACTTACAGTAACAACTTCAGACTATCAGTTAGCCATTTTAAGTCGGACTATTCCTGCAACATTTTATATTCTTATTTTATCCTTTATTTCTACAAATTTTGAAGTTCTCAAATAATTATTAAGATAATGATTACACTCTTATATTTTATGTCAATATGAGTCTGCATACTTAAGTCCTGTTTTGCATTTTCAGCAGGTTTTTTGAAAGTCCAAGTTTTTTGGCAGAATTTGCAGATGTCAACAATAGAATGCACACCTCTGTAACAAACGTTGTGTTCCACACTGGTGTCTGTAAGAATAGTTCAAGTGTTCATTAAGAGAAGGAAGAGTATTGTGGGGTGTCAATGTTCGCCGAGACAACCACTTGAAACTATAACAACAAATGTTTGTTGCACATAGAATAGGCATTACAGATGCATGGGGAGCGTGTCTGGAGAATACCGGTGGAGACTCATTTCATAGCCGTTAGCCCAGTGTAGTGATGATGGTGCTCGGTGGAGGCCCATAAAAGGCCTGTTTGTTTAGCCTCTGTTGGAGTGAGCTAGCAAGCATGGTGTACCTCCTTGCTGCAACCCAATGTACTTCCTTTGCTGCAACTCAGTGATTGCGAGCTAACAGGATAGCAACAAGTCTGGCTGGCTGGCGGAGCTACAGTGCGTGCACCGGCAGAGTTGGTTCGGTGCTCTACTGGAGAGTTGCAGCTGCGGTGATCTCTTGATAGTAGTGTAGCGGTGACTGATGCAACTGATGCGATTGATGCCAGCCTCAAGTCAAAGTTAGCGTCACATTGCGAGTGACAGTCGGTCAGTCTGTCTGTCCTGGGGCTCAGGTCCAGATATTTCTTCTTATATGAAAGTTACTCTCCTGTCCATGTGGGGGGCCCTCTCTGATGAGAGGTCAGGTCTATCATTTGATGCTAGCCTGTTGGAGGCCTGCATTTTTATACCGTTATCACTGGGCAGTGCACGGACCTGTTGGTGGCGGAGCTGCAGTTATAGTAGCGCTTATGTGGATGTAAAGACAACCAGGCCGCAAGCTGTAGCTTATAAATATTGCCTGCTTTCGGTACACTGCGGGAGTTGTCTGTGGTAGGTTCCCACATCATGTACAGTATGGTACTGACGACACAGGACAAATTATAGAATGAGAATGAGATTGTCACAGGGAAAAGTGACATGAATATCCTGGCCATACTGTTCGAGGGGTTCATGTTCTTGAAGCAAGGGAGGATACAGTTAAGACTGGAACTGCTACCACTGAAAGCTGTGAGATTGCAGATTGCAATTTTGTACTTTAGCAACATTTAACTACCCTGCCTCCTCATAAATCACTATTAGTGGCTTCCTGTATTGAATTTTTGATCAATTTAATCCTGGAGTTTCCAAAAACAGGCTTGTTTGTTTTTCCTGTGACATGGACCAACTAATGTATCTTTCCCCTTCCATAATATTAGGAGAATGTATGTCACAGTGTGATTTATATGATTGGCTCATGTTGTTTTATGCAGGAGAAATCAGTAATTTAATTCTTTCATTGTGTTGTGGTTTGTGAAAAGATGTAAATTCAAGTCAGCTGCACTGGTTATTTTTAATTATCGACGCATTAAACAAATATTTTTTTTTTAATTCGCTTAGTGGGGCGTGGAGTTCAGATGGGTCCACTCAGCATGGCAGCTACTGATTGGCCTATTGTACCTGCCCTAGGTGATTATGATGATGGAGAATTTGGTGGAATGAAGATTGGCAGGGGTAACTGAAATACACGGAAGAAACCCGCCCCAGTGCCACTTTGTCCACCACAAATCCCACTTGACCAGACCCAGGATCGAACCTGGGCCGCCGCAGTGGGAAGCCAGCGATTATTATTATTATTATTATTGGAGGGGGGTGGGTTTCCCCATACACTGCGACCAGTTTGATCTATTGTACGCCCCCCTGTGATATTCTACCAGTCTCAATACCCTACCGGTACTCATGCATGCTGTCAGTCCCAACTCAGCCAGCGAGTTCGGCCTCTACTGGCTCAGCGGTATCTAGATGCTTCCCCTGTCTACCAGAGGCGTTAGAGACTATCGTTGGGTGGGAAATATCCTTACAAATTTGGCTCAGAGGTCTCCTTGAGACATGAGGTTCTTTTACATGCCGTAAAGCTACGACGTGGGACCCACGGCTTCAAGTCCCTCCCGGAGGACTTGTTCCCTGAATTTTTCCGCCCTTAAAAATTCCACGACCTCTGCTGGGTTTGAATCCGTGTACCTTGAGTCATGAGGTGGGAACGTTACAACTAGACTACAGAGACCGCTAGCCAGTGGCTAACTGCTTGAGCTATGGCTCGGCCATTAAACAAATAAAATACCAAAATAAACTCCATGAACCTAAAATATCACAGTGAAAGTTCCTTCACACAAGATACAAGAGTTCTCGTTACATAAGGAAAGATTATATGTTATGCATTACACGCCTTCTTTCTTAATACAGCATTGTAGCACATTACACACTCTTCTTCAGAACACACACTTTGTGTTTGAGAAGGTCTCAGAGCAACTCAAAATATTGTATTTTTTAATTAGGTATTTATGTTCTACAGTATATTGATAATTCCAGATTCTCTTCTTTCCTTAATCCAGTTTCTACTTGTTTGCCACTGTGCTACAGCAACAAGCAAACTCCACAGCATAGGGTCTTCTTCTACAGTTCTGTAATTATTCAGCAGGTCAACAAATTCCTGCTTATTAGGAACTAGAATTTCATAAGCAGTTTTACAAAGCCCATTACAGGATCACACACTGAGCTATTTGAATCCAACACATACCTTCATAACCTATTTCCAGTGAGATCTGTTTTAGTATTCCTATGTCTTTCAAGTAAACCTGGACAAATGGAACAATGACTGTTGGCTTATATTAAATTGCTCTCTTGCAATGATATGATGCTGTCATGTGTTCCTTTACTGTGCAATTCTGTAAACTCAGAAGTTCCTTGGTTGAAATATTAATACATATTAATTAAAAAACTTCAAATAAAATAATTGATTTTTAACATTTTATTACTTCATCTTGTTTACAAAATGTTTAATACCAGTTACAGTGCGTTTTCTTACCTCGGTTGTTTAATGACAAAAATGGCTGACTCATTACTATATACAAGGGTTGGAACTTTAATAGTGGCAACACTGCTATAGAGATGTCATGCAGCGGAACCAAATAATGTCGCTTATACCACACGTNCAGAACAGTGGCAAGGTGGGTAAAAGCCTTCAACGAGGGACGCCAAAATGTGGCAGACATGTGTCGGCCAGGTCGTCCTAGTGTCAGTGAAGAAGTGTATGCTCTTTCCACGTTACTGGAGAGTGATTGACGCCATACAATTCATGAGCTCGCCTGAGAGACAGGATTAGCGCATATGACTGTGCTTCACATTCTGAAGGAATGCCTGGGCATGAGAAAAATCGCATCATGATGGGATTTGACAGAAATGCAGAAATGGCTATGATACAACTCTGGGAAGTGCTGTACCATCCACCATACTCCCTGGACTTAAGCCCTTGTGACTTTGTCTTGGACCTAAGATGAAGGAACCACTTTGTGGCATTCGCTTCAGAAGTGTTCCAGAGATTCTTCAGGCAGCAGACCGCTCCATTCGAACTATCAACACAACAGGCGCTGCTAAAGGTATCCTACGACTTCCACATCGCTGGCAACAGGTTGTACACAATGCTGGCGACTACACTGAAGGACAGTAAAACTTCGAAACATGCATCTATTTTGTATCAGTTGTAAATAAATAGTTGCCACTATTAAAGTTCCAACCCTCATAATTATCATAGATGCCTACACACAATTTTTAATCCAAAATATTTGGTATACAATTATTCCAAATAAACAGAATTTGTAGAATATTAAAAAAATATTTGGTATAATATTTCTTACTTCTATTTTATGATAGGAGAAAAAAATAATCTTGCAGACCCATGGTCAGGCTTCAGCAGCTGCACTTTGAGAAACACTGATATAGACCATATAAGAAAACCCACATTACAGGACACAGTAGTACTCCTTGAAGGTGAAGAAGGCGAAGCAATCCCTATAACAGGCTATGGAGGCCCATAGGATTGTGAGACGTTGAGGGTCCCACATTATCTAGACAATCAGCTCACAGATGGCAGTGAGTTTGTCAGCCTTATGTGCTGGCCGACCTTTACCCCCAAGGAAGATTCCTGGTACTCATATCTGTTAGAGGCTGAGTCGACCCCAGGGCCATAGTGCGGCTGTAAGGATTAGGTCAATTGAAAAATATCCACCTCATCAGGACTCGAACCCACGACCTTCTGGTCTGTAGCATAGTGCCTCAACCAACTACACTATCACGTGCCTCCTGGTACTCCTTCTTAGTGCAACGAAATGAGGGGCCCTACATTAAGAACTTGTTTCCTTTTATATTGGCAGCTGTAAGGTAGATTTCTGCATGTTGAAATTTGTTAAAGTTTAAATATTATGAACAAGTGTATATTTATTTAATCTGCACAATTGTTTCAGAGCATCAATGGAAGGAGCCATGATGCACATCAAACAGGAAGCTGTGCCACCTGTGCTCCCTTCTTCAATGGTAACTGAGAGTGAAGGTCTGGTGCACCTGATAAAGCGAGAGGTGTTAGAACAGGGAATGGATGGAGAGGAGACAGAGGGTGTGGGTGTTGAAGTTGATGAAGAGAGAGTTTATGGACCTGGAGCTTCAGTAGGTACGCCCATGGATCAGAGTCACGAGTTGGAAGAAGGAGACGAGATGGCTGAAGACCTCTCGATGGTCCCAGATGTGGTGGAAGAAACACTTGAGGCATAGTATGAACGCCTTCCCAAGGGCAAAGTGTTTACCATATCTTGTGTTTAATGTTCAGTTGCAAACTACAGTGTTGGGGAATGATCAGAATGGACCATTACTTTCCCCTGGTTGTGTGCGTTACCTTGGAACAAGAAAATGCTAAATCTAATCCATATCTCCTCAGAAGCAATTGCAGACTAATTGAATTTGACTGTTGCAATTATCAACTACTACCTTGGCGAGTAAATGTCAATCAACAAATATTAGCTGAACTGCAGGCTGTGTGTATGAATGCCTGTGTATATGTGTGTGTATGCTTGTGTGTATGTATATGTATGTATATAAATAATGTGGACATCTTCAATGAATAGTAACATACGAGAGTGTTATGAAGACTGCATAGTGAATGATTGTGTTATCATATTTATATATATATATATAAATATCCATATACATTTATATATATATAAATATATTTAAAGAGCATGTAACTTATAATTGGTAGGAAATTAGAGTTGTTCTTCTGTAAGGTTCTGTATCAGTAGCACTAATGAGATACATTCAATGCTGAGACACTAATGAATAAACTGAAAGGTGGTGCAACTGTCCAAACATTGATTGTCAGCACGAACTAAAAGTATACGTGTCAAAGTGTCATGAAGTCACATTGGCTCACATCAGCTGAAGCTGCGCCTAGTCCTGATGTGTGAGTTGGATATCTACCATATGTAGCATCGTAGTGTGTAGAAGCATATCTTTCACGTGCATTATTTATTTTCTTCGTTAACATCCAAGTACAATATTGTACCTCAACATGCATGTTCTTTTCTCAGAACAAGCTGGGATGGAGCAACCTTGCCAAGGATCAGGCTATAATGTTGATGTGAATGTTAGTTCTCATTTTTGGGATGGAAGTGTAAAGAGAGTACTCTAGACAGGAAATCATTTCCTAACTTATTTTATTTATATTGAGAAGTTCCTTTCCAATTCTAAGATTAAAACTCAAAAATAGATTGCTCTCTGTGTTCATATGTAGGCCAAGAGGATGTTTATTTTATGCTAATTCTTGTCATTAATTGTGTTATTTTAACATGTTTATTATAGTTGAGAAATCAGACATGTCCATGTTAAATGTGATGGAGTCTTTGTCTCCATTACTGCCTAAATACATTTTTCCACTTAAATTCGCTTTGAATTCAAGTACAGGGTAGGTTGGCAATCTCAAAATACAGAGAGTTCCTACAACTTGGTTATTATGAACTGTGAACAGTTAAAGGAAGCACAATGGGAAACCACGTAAATAAAGGAACTAATGTAAATTCTGGCATGCTAGAGTGCTATCAGAGACATCGGTAGTTTAGTACTGATTGCTGTTAGAATGTGCAGGCAAGGAATGGGACAATAGCATTGCATAGAAATCACTGCTTAGATGCTTGGTTGATGTTAGAATTCTTACATGCAAAACTGAGGGAAACATCCATATCATTGCTAGTCGTCATGTAGTTTGGTAAGAGATGCAAAAAAAATGTAATTGGAATATCAGAAGCCAACAGCAATACTGATGGAATTATTTTATACATCCTATGAAGAACTGTATTATATTATATATGTATACAGAAGATCAAGAGGGTGCAATTTTTTTTTTTAAGTTATAAATCAAATAACCTGAGTTGAAACTTAATCTTAATCTGCACATCTTTGTTCTCTTATAAGGTAAATTATCCAGTAATTGCTTTTACTGTTTATAGTCTGAATGGACTTAATGCATTCCTAGTTCATTTTTTCTGTTTACAGTATAGGAAATGTGTAATTACATCATTGTGATTACCCAGAATTCAGTGGGCATATATGTGATTTTTATGTCATGTTATGATCAGTAATTAATAATTTCAAAGGAACTGCAAAGTTTTATTAGTTCTGTCTGAAAATTGTAGAAGAACTATAATTCATGCACTGTTCTGTGAATGGAGATTTGTTAGTAAGTCTTTTATTTTGAAACAATTCTGTGGCACTTTTGATTATATCTTAGTGCCAGTTTAAGGCATAAACATTGATCGAAACATTTCTCTTAATGACCTTCGTCTATACTTTTATAATGTATAGAATGCCATTATTTGTGGAATTATTCATGTTTTAGAAGCTTGTAAAATTATGGAGAAAAAATTTATTTGGGCTGTGGTGTACAGTTGTTAATAGAGACAGACTTTATTGTGTACATACGATGTATATTATAGTGGACTTAATTCCCTAAATTTGTTTACTTGTCTTGGTGTCTTGGAAATTAGCTCCTCATCCTTATATTTTAACAGTAGGATATATGTTGTGGTACATCAAAGCAGGCAAACATGATAGTAATTACACCTAATGAACTATCTGCACATCTGCAGAAGGAAACTGTTTGATAGTAAGCTTCCATACATAGCCCCTGAAGGGCAGATCCAAATCTGAACATGTATTAAACTCAGGCATGCGTCCTTCCGTCCGCAGAACACTTAAATTGCCTTGATCAATCTTGTCCTAAGTCCTGAAAAATTTGCCAGTAGATACTGTTTTTGTTTCATTGCATGAACCTTCATACCTTTTAAGTTCTCTCATATGTTTGATGTCATGTTTCACATATTTGATACCTGTACAAAACAGAATTGTATTAAATTTGTGGAAGAACTGTGTTTTATGTTGATAATGAGAGTATGTAAAACGTAAAGTAAATTACTAAACTCATGGTTTTAAAATTTAATATTAACTGACTTCATATCTGACAGACATGACAGTTATTTTTTAGTAAGAATGTGTTCAATGGTTGCCTATAAAGAAGCAGTCTGGTAATAGCATCACAAGTTATTTTTCACCACTCCTCTTCCAGCTCACCTGAGTCTAAGTACAGTGCTAATATTCTCTTTTGGCTGTGGATCAGAAATTCGTTGGTCAGGATGGACAGAACAAAACAGTGACTGACAAAATTATATAAAGAATGAAGACTGAAAATTCAGCCAGATAAAGCATCATATATAAGATGATAAAGATAAGGGGTGGTTAGTAATGTGTATTAGGAAAGATGAGACTTAGAGAACTAAAAGAGATGCCATTATGGGCATTCAAGTTAACTACCATGCAAATGTGTTGTTGTATATCAATTGTTCACATAAATGTGTACTTACAATGGTTAGTTACTAAATTTGAATCTTCAGAAATTTTCAAATACTGAAAACTATTAATTTCACATTAAGATTAATGCCAATAGCTGAAACAGGATACTTAAGAGCATTTCCCAGCTGATCCCACAAAGATGTCCACAGTGCTAATTGAACAGCTTCTGTTGACAGGAGTAGTTACTAATTTAACTAGCAGCACAGTCAGTATACACTGGCATGGAAATATGGCTGGGACAGCATTTTCAAATCAGTTCTATGTTCTAAAGTTTATAATTACAGGTGAATATTTAATTCATTTGACCCAGGATCTCCCCTGAGGTGGAATAAATTTTGCTTCACTCCCCCACCCTTAAGTACATGCTATTTGTATTTATTAAAGCAGAAGGGTGGATATGGGTGTGAAACTTGGTCTCTGACATTAAGGGAGGAACATAGACTGAGGGAGTTTGAGAATAGGGTGTTGAGGAGAATATTTGGACCAAAGAGGGATGAAGTGACAGGATGCTTGAGAAAACTGCATAAATAGGAGCTTCATAACTTGTACTCTTCTCCAAGTATAATTAGAATGATCAAGTCAAGGACAATGAGCTGGCCAGGGCATGTAGCACAACTTGGGGGAGCGAGGAATGCATATAGGATATTGGTGGGAAAGCCAGAAGGAAAGAGACCACTGGGAAGACCAAGGCATAGGTGGGTGGACAATATTAAAATTGAGCTTAGAGAGATAGGATGGGATGGTATGGATTGGATTGGTCTGGCTCAGGATAGGGGCCAGTGGAGCGCTCTTGTGTACACAATAATGAACCCTCGGGCTCCATAAAGTGCTGGGAAGTTCTTGAGTGGCTGCACAATTGGAGGCTTCTCAAGAAGGGCTCAGCTCCATAAGTAAGTAAGTAAATAAGAAGGGTTCAGTAATTTTGTATTATAATTTTGAAGTGTGTAAGATTTTATATTTTGGTCTGAAGTGCTGAAGGATTTTATATTAATATTTGAAACAGAATCACACAGTGTTGTTATAAGTACATAATCATTTCTATTTATGTTGGATCTCAGATTCTCATGTCATTGACTATGTATGTCTTCAAGGTTGCAACACCATGCAGAAGACCATGCTCCCACTGCCATGGCATCCTCAGATCTAACACAACAAGAGAATTTTATGTATATTTAATAACGATGCGTGGTTCTGTCTTGAATATTAGTATTACATTTTTTTGGAATTTTAAAGTTTACTTCATATAAAAATATTAAATTTTACACATTTCAGCATTATCACATAAAATGTCTTCACCCTTTTGCTTGAATAAACACTAAACGCATGTAAGTGCATCTGAGCTTCCCCCTCCTTCTGATGGTTCCTTGCTTGACTTACTCTTCGATCCTGAAGATGGAGGAAGTTTGTTGCTCCAAAACATTGGACTCTGTCTGAACTACTTGACATTATGTCTACCCAGAGAACCATACTTTTTTCTCGTCCTGTATTTGTATCTTAGCAGTAAATTTTTATTAGTTTTAAAAATAATTTACCATTTCTGTATTAGATCGCAGAAGATATAAGAATATTAAAATCAAATTTTGTACCAGTGCATAGCTGTTCCATTGTGCTAACATACATTTAGTACTTCAACTATCTTAAATGCCTCTATTGGACAACTGAGAGATAGCCCTCTTTGTAAATCATCAGCAGAAGGGATAATAAGGCATTAAAATTTGAGTCCCCAATTCGTCCGTTGTGAAGATATGGAATGTTTGTGTTAAAATCTTGATGCTTCAAACTTTTTCTCATCTTCAGGTCATGGATCATGTAGAGATTTATCAACAGCTCAGAAATTAATAAAATAATATAAAGTAATAAGCAAATTAAAATGTTTAATATTTTAAACAAATAAAGAGATGTATCACTTCTCTACAGATTTTTGAAATCCTTCATAAATTAAACTGTATGGTATTAAACTTTTCTCCTTTTTTATTACATAGAACAGTTTACAGTACTGTACACCATACTTCTCAGTTGGTGTAATGCAACATTTTGAATTAAATTGAATTTCTGTTTTCTATATATTTGATTGTAAGCCATGAAAGTATAACATCAGTGAGATTGTGTTCAGGCATGTTTTGTCATTTCATTGGCCTTTGCTCTCTTTGTTTGTTAAATTGCTGTGGTGTTCATATTTTTCATATTTCTTTATATTTTTGCATTGGTAAGAGCGTTTTTGATCTTAATATTTATTGCCATTTTTGTCTTTTATTACTCATGTCTAAGATGATATTCTGTTAATTTTTCTATCAACTCTGAAACATACTACAAAAAAATGTATATAAAGAAAAAGAATAGTAATATATGGAAATAATGTAAACGTGGTTTACATATGCATACACACATAACTTTACATTAACATATGATCTGGTGTGCCATAGCTTCCACACTATTGGTTTCTTCATACACTGTAAACTTTTATTTTTAATATAGAATTAATTTAGCAACAAAATTGTCATGTTATAAGGCACTTGTGTATGAAATTTTCTCCACTCAATTAAACTATAAGTTTCCATTAAAGGATCAATTTTGCATTACCAGCAACATGCAATCTTTGAACATCAGTGCACAAAACATTCCTTTCACTGAATTAATAAGGTTTTGTTGACATCATTACTGGTTGGTCAAAACAGGTTTCATAGTCTCTGCATAGTATTCTCAAGTTACAGTTGATGGTTTACTATCAAATATCACTACATTACAGTAATTTAACCATGTAGTGTTGTCAGCACATGTTTAACATATTGTATTGAGTATATTATAGCCCCACACAGAAAAGCTTTTAGAAAAATGGAGTGTCAATAAAATAAATTTTACTGCTTACAACTCCTGTGCATACACCTCCTATGTAAGCAAGTCCAAAAATTTGAAGTTTCACTATGTATGGAGGTTTGACTGTTAGTTGTTTTCACCAGTTGGATGTAACTTTGGCCAGACTGCAGGCAAACATATATGTCATTACTGCTGTTTTCCAAAAACATGTCTATAAGTACTGTACATCATACCATAGAATGTTGTCATTTACAGTTAATTAGCAAAGGGTTGTGAAACAAGAATTATAGGGTCAAGTGTTTTAATGTTGCAGTGCCTTTCCAATGAGTGAAACTGGCAGCCAGCAATATACAGCATCCTTTTCACTTAAGGCCGCACCATAGCTCAAGCGGTTATTCACTGGCTTCCCACTGCAGCCAACTGAGTTCAAGCCAAGGTCTGGTTATGTGGGATTTGTGGTGGACAGAGTGGCGCTGAAGGAGGTTTTCTCTGAGTACTTCAGTTTCCCCTGCCAACCTTACTTCCACTGATTTCTCCACAGTCACCATCATCTATCATCCATGACTGGTACAATAGGCCAGTAGTGGCTGCAGTACCAAGTGGACGCAGTCTCGCTCCACTGAGAAAAAATAAAAAATCCTCTCCACTTTTATCTTTCTTCAGTTATCCTCTGACTTGTTCTAATTCAGAATGAATTCTGAAAGAACAAATGCTTTAGTAGTTTGGTAGGAATATCTTGATAGGAGATCAGCCTATCACAAAGCTCCTTCTACACAGGACAACAGAACACAGAAAAGAAATGACACTTGTCGATGCTGAAAGTGAGGTTCAAGTCATCTGAGATTGTACAAATGAGGCTTTTAATTTGGATTTCTGTGTTTCATTACACTTTGCTTTATAAGTACTCAGATTTCATTCAATAAGAATTTCAGTATCCATTAATAGACATATATGTTTTATGGGTAGACTGATATGATTTCTCTTCAGCTGCTTTCACTATAACTGATAAATTATTTACACTTTCTATAGAGTTTTGCACATATAGTAACAGAATGCTCAGAGGTAATTTCCTGAATTTCTGTTTAACACATGTAAATTGTATGATGCCCTAGCTGCTGCCTGTTGTTGAAAACCAATAACAAATTATACCTTCCCAGGAACCAGTATTAACTATAAGCTTGAGAATCAAATGTAAGAATGTAACAGTCAGATGCCTGCCTTTCAGATCATGTTGCTTATTAACCCTAATGCAAC